CTGCTGACACGTTGATGCACCCGTACCCCCACCGCGTCACGGAGTCAGACTTTGGGCGCTGCAGGTACCTCCCGGGGTTGCTGGAGTCCACACAAAAGAAGGTAGAATAGTCAGCCTCCTTCTCGCTCAAGTGCAGGTTGCGAGCAGGCTGGGAATTCCAAGATTTTCTTTATCAAAGACAGAGCCAACTTTCAGAGCAGGGAAAGAAGTGAGTAGCTTTTCTCTTTAACTCTAGGGTGGTTGGGAGAGCTGTGGGAAGCTGTGGGATAACCAACCCCTTCCTAACACTGAGGAATGAGCCTGGTGACAAAGGACTAACCTGAGAAGGTGGGGTGTCTTGAGAAGGAGTGGAGTTGGGACTGGGAGGGAGTGCACAGGGGGCTGGAAAGGGGAACAAAAGACAGAAACCATCACGAATTGTTCTATCACCACAAGTAAATTTGTGCGGTCCACCCAGCCCTTAACGGCAAGGCCACCCCAGGAGGAAAGGGGCACTGGACTGCACGTTTTATTGATTGGCTGATGCTGGGCCACAGCTTCCTCCGGTGCTTCCTCGACCCCAGGTTTCATTGTTCTTAAAGAAAAGTGAAGTTTATGGTTCTGAACAGAGCGTTTCCACTTGGTGCGTTTTACCTTAACCCTGTGCAGTTGGTGTTCTCTGGCCCATCGTGGGAAAAGGGCTCATTTGGTGTTGAGTTATTACCTTGTCCCGTTCCCTCAACAATCCTACAAAGCGGGTACTATTATCCTCACCTTACAGAGGAGGAAACTGTGGCCCCGAGGTAAAAATGGGGTTTCCCAGGGCCTCCCCCGCTGAAGAGTGAGGAAGTGCAAGATTCAAAGCCTCCTGTCTGCACCGCAGTTGGCTGAGGGTGGGCTGCCCTCTCGCACTTGGTTATCCTGGATACTAAAATTGTACTTTAAGCTTTTTTCTTAGGATATAGTTGGAATAATGGGAAAACAGTCTTTTAAATTTGGAGTCTTTTCAAGCCAGATATTTTTAGTTTGACTTAATCTTTAAGAATTAATTAGCCTGTGTGAAGCCTGCAGGTCATCTGCGTCTTCAGAAACATCTAGGATTTTGTTAAAATTGCAGATACCCGGGTCCCACCCAGATTTGCTAAATCAGAATCTCATGAGTGGTGCCCGGGAAACTGCAATTTAACAAAAAACATCCCACAGGGGGTTTTAATCACGCTAAAGTGTGTCTGGTTTTGTTTTTTAAAAGCTGTACAAGAGTTTATAAATTTACCTGCAAATAAAGACATGGGGGTAGTTTAAAAGAAGTGTTAACATTTCTTTTTCTTTCTTTTGATACAAATAAAAATCTGGTTGAGTCTCCATGTAAGTTGTTGGCTTCTGACTGATGAGTACTTGCTGGTGTTTCATGCTTTCAACTACTCTGATTTGTAGAACTTTGATTTCTGGGAGATAATAGTTCCCAGGGATTTTTTCAGATTTGAAGCAAATAAGTTCCTGGCCTTTTCTAGTTGAGGTACCAGGCTAGGGAGGCAAAATGGTGCAGAATTAAGTTCATAGCATTTGGATTTAAATATATTTAGATTCAAATTCCAGACTGCTTACTCACTACATAACCTGGGACAAGTAGGTCAGCTTCTCAAAGCCGAGGTTTTCTTATCTATTAAATGGGAGTACTGATACTACTTCAGAGTATTGGTGTGAATATTAAATGAGTTCAGGAACATAATGTGTAAAGCGCATGGCACATGGTAGGAATTCAATAAATGTTCTTTCTTTCCAATCCTGTATAAATACGAGTTTCTTTTACAAATACTGAATCATTATGTTGTACACCTGAAATGAACACAATGTTTTATGTCATTATACCTCAGAAAAATTATATAAACAAAAATGATTTTCTCTTCTCAACTTGCCACTTATGAAACTACTAGAGGCCCGGTACACAAAATTCATGCATGGGTAGGGTCCCTAGGCCTGGCCAGCGATCAGGGCCAATTGGGGCCTTCTGGCTGCCAGCCAGGGCCTTCCTTCGTTCCATGCCACCCCCTGGTGATCAGCGCACGTCATAGCGAGCAATCGAACTCCCGGTCTCTCGGTCGAACTCCTGAGGGGACACTTTGCATATTAGCCTTTTATATATATAGATATTTGGGACTGAGATTCTATTGCTTTAAAATTGCCAAAAAAAAAAAATTAAAACAAGCCTATTGAAAATAAAATTTTAGAAATATATATATTTTTTATTGATTTCAGAGAGGAAGGGAAAGAGAAAGATAGAAACATCAATGATGAGAGAGAATCATTGATCACCTGCCTCCTGCATGCCCCCCCCCCTCCCCCCCCCCCCGCCCCGGGAATTGAGCCCACAACCCTGGCATCTGCCCTGGCTGGAAACTTAACTGTGACTTTCTCATTCATAGATCAATGCTCAACCACTGAGCAACACCACTGGGCTGAAAATAAATTTTATATGCACTACAATTAATTTAGAACTATAGTTTAGCACTCTGGTGAAATAAGACATGTTTTAAATTTTGTCATTCTACGAAATATAAGTTCAAGAAAAGTATTTTATCTTTCTAATCTTTATTTTGAATAATATCAGATTTACAGAAAATTGCAAAGAACAGTACAAAGAACCTGTATATTCTTTATTCAAATATATATATTCTTTATTCAAATCCACCAGTGTTTAACATTTTGCCATGTTTTTGTTTTCATTTTCTCTCCATGTGTGGACACACACACACACACACACACACGTTTTTTTCACTGAACTATTTGAGAGTAGGTTGCATACCAGTATATCATGTCCCTTACTAATAGCTTCAGTGTTTATTTTGTGTGAACATGGATATTCTCATACGTGACCACATAGATTTGCCATTTCAGGACATTTTTGAATTGATTTAATAAACTGTAATCTATAGTTTATATTACAATTTCAACAATTGACCTATAATGTCCTTTGTAGCAATTTCCCCCCACCCAAGGCAGGATCCAGTTCAGAATCACACATTACATCTGTTTGTCATCTCTTTAGTTATCTTGATTGTGAACGATCCCTCAGGCCTTCTTTGTCTTTCCTCATGTGACATTTAGAAGAATACAAATCCTCAATTTGGGTTTGTCTGATGTTTTCTCAAGGTTCCTTTCAGATTATGCATTTTTAACTGGGATGCTTCATCAGGGACATAGTGTTGTTTCCAGATATGACATATACAAATATATGATGTCTATTTGTCCCTTAGTAGTGATTTGAATTTTGATTTTATTATTCATTTCTCCACCATATAGTCACTATTTTTCATTTTTGTAATTACTAAGTAATTTTTAATAACTTATTCGAAACTATGCAAATACCCTGAGCATCTTCAAACCCTACCATTATTTTTTTCTATCATAGAGCTTTCTCATTGGGTTTCTCTCTCATTTATGTATTTACATACTGTCAATATGAACTCATAGATTCTTATTTTATTCAATGGATTTTAATCCAGTGCTGTGTCTATTTATTTTGATACTCAAATTGTACCAGTTTGGCCAGTGGGAGCCCCTTTGGACATGCACCCCTTGTTTTCCTGAGCACTTCCTTACTTTCTACCATCAGATGTTTCAGGCTCATTTATACCTTCCCTGCCCCAACCCTGGGCTTAGCCATTTCTCCATAGAACTCTGATTCCTTTGAATGGAGAATGGTTTTTAGAAACCAGAATCTGGGCTGCACTTTTTCAACATAGGAATTTCTAAATTCTTAGAGAAGAGGCAGTGGGGAAGAATTTTGGAGACTAAAATCTGTTGTGAAAGCCTAGTTTTCATAAGTAGTTTAAACACTTGTATTTTGTAACTTAAGGCTGGGAAAAAATTTTTTTGTAATTATACTGAGACTAATATATTTACTTACCACATCTGTAGTTGTTTTAAGTTGATCTAAAGGAATTTGAAATACACAGCAGAGATTGCTTCACTGTGGAAATTTTTAAATTGTTTATTTTAGTATTTAATGTTCATTTTAATGAACAAATGTCCTCTCATATAAATAATTCTCATCATGCGTATCTAAGTAACAGGTAAATGAAAAAGCTACAAGATCATATTTGTTTTCATTTTTAGATCATGCAGTGTGGGTCTATAAAGATTCATTTAAGCCCTAGCCGAGTAGCTCGATCGGTTAGAGATCGTCCTGATGAGCCAAGGTTGTGGGTTCGATTCCCAGTCAGGGCACATGAGAAGCAATCAGTGCATACATAAATGGAACAACAATCTGATGTTTCTCTTTCTCCCTTCCTTCCACTGTGTCTGATCAGTATAAAAAAAAAAGATTCATTTAATTAAAAATACCATTAAAGAACTTCATGTTTACAGTACATTTGTATCTTCTAGGACACTTGAAGTAACAAAACCTGCTTGTGAGAATATTTTGATAAGGAGAATCTAAATAATTTTTGCATATTTCATCATATGTTAATGTTAATCCATCATCACATGACTGGAATATAGTGGGTCCTACAGTCACCCTGATCTCAGACAAATCATTTCTGCCTAATTCTTGTCTTGCCCTTATTTGGCATTATTATGTTCCCCATAACATTGTTTTTAATGTGCATATCAATGTTTTTAACCTCCAGCTGGGTACTTCTGCTGCTGGGATCATGGGGTGGATTTTATACCTAATTAAATGAAAGCAGTTCTTCATGTGAACAGCAGCTCTTTCAACCTCTTTGCCAAGGAAGTTGTGGACACTGATTTGTCCTCATAAAATGCGCCAGTTACTCTTTTTTTTAGGACAGATTCTAAAAATGGTATCACACAGATGGGAGAAGTTCTCTCTGCAGGAATGGCCTCCTCAGCTCTTCATCTGTTCATGACCAGAACTGACGTGTGGGACCAGATGTCCTGATTGTTGACAACTGTGAGGCCTTTGATTCTCAAGGACTGTGTTCATTTCTAACGAAGTTGTTGAAGAGTCCTGCTTTAGCACACAGAGAGATGCTGACCAGTTCTCTTTTCCCTTCTAGAAATGACGCTCCTCTCCTCCCAGTCTTCATCTCCAGTGGCCGCTTCTGGGTCTGTGTCCACTGAAAACCCAGAGCAGAGGATGCTGGAGAAGAGAGCCAAGGTGGTAGAAGAACTTCATCAGACGGAACGAGACTACGTTCGGGATCTGGAAATGTGTATTGAGCGGATCATGGTACCCCTGCAGCAGGCACAGGTGGGAACTGTGGGAGCAAGGTAGCTTTACCTTGAATAGGGTTCTCCAAGCTTCAAGTATCAGAATATGGGAGCTTTCACCACAGAGATTTATTGGGTTGGAAGTAAAGGCTGTGGCTGCTACTCTTAATTCAAGGGTCCCAACATACATGGGTCAACTTAAGCCATCAGTATCCTGTCACTTTTCAAGTCCACTGTTAACTAATCGGACTTACTGCAATAACACCCAGGACATTTCTGTTTATTTGGCTCCTGGAAACAGTACCAGGGAGTCTGGATTGTCACTTTCCTGGAAAGGTTGTATAAGAACATAATGAAGTCTGGAGGTGATTGGGTTCCTGGCTCTAGCACCTGATTTGACTGTACAAGGTTTATTCAGGAAACTCTCTAACTGTCATGTGCATATTATATTAGGTACTTTTCTAGATGCTGGATACAGAAAAAGAGGTACACAGTTTCTGGGGATTTATAGTCCTTGTTACTTGACCACCTGGACTGGGGTTTTTTTTTTGTTTGTTTTTTAAAATTAGATTTATTTTATTTTATTTTATTTATTTATTTTTCTTATATTTTATTGAGTTTTTACAGAGAGAAAGAGAGAGGGATAGAGAGTTAGAAACATCGATGAGAGAGAAACATCGATCAGCTGCCTTCTGCACACTTCCCACTGGGGATGTGCCCACAACCAAGGTACATGCCCTTGACCGGAATCGAACCTGGGACTCCTGAGTCCACAGGCCGACGCTCTATCCGCTGAGCCAAACCGGTTAGGGCTGGTCTGGGTTTGAATTTGTCTTCCTGGAGCAGTCACCTCCAAGAACTTCTATAGCAGTGGTTCTCAACCTGTGGGTCGCGACCCCTTTGGCAGTCGAACGCCCTTTCACAGGGGTCACCTAAGACCATCCTGCATATCAGATATTTACATTACGATTCATAACAGTAGCAACATTACAGTTATGAAGTAGCAACGAAAATAACTTTATGGTTGGGGGTCACCACAACATGAGGTACTGTATTTAAAGGGCCAGATGGTTGAGAACCACTGTTCTATAGGAAGTAGGCAGTGCCATCAGGCTTTGGGTACCAGGTGGGAATGTGAATCCCAGTATAATTATAGACCAAATTGTTTCCACAGTCATTTTACTATGGTAGTGGGGGAGGAAGATGGGGAGAACAGTTGAATCAAGGACTAAGGGTAACACTAAAGCTAATGTTGGATGTTTCTGTTCTGGAAACTTTGTGAGAGTGAGTGAAAATGACCTTCAACAGTTTTTTAAAAGTATGTTTTTATTGATTTGAGAGAGAGAGAGGAAGGGAGAGGGAGAGGGAGATAGAAATATCAATGAGAGAGAAACATTGATCGGCTGCCTCCTGCACACCCCCCTTCTCTCCCCTGCGCCCCTCCCCCCCATTGGGATAGAGCTCAAAACCCTGACATGTGCCCTGACCGGGAATCAAACCAGTGACCTTTTGATTCATGGGTTGACACTCAACCATTGAGCCACACTGGCCAGGCTGACCTTGAACAATTTTTGTATCATACTTGAAGAGGTGTTTCTAATGTGAATGATATGCTATTAATTTCATTTTTTGTGAATCTTTATGTTTGTTTCCCTTTCTCAGATACCAAACATTGATTTTGAGGGACTTTTTGGAAACATGCAGATGGTGATAAAGGTCTCAAAACAATTATTGGCCGATCTGGAAATCAGCGATGCTGTAGGTATGAGCTCAAGAAGCAACTTTTTTTTTTTTTTTTAACTTCATGGGTAGAAGGCAGGAGGAGAAGGGCCTTGCTAAGAAACGAAGTTTTAATTACTTAGTTCAGAGGTTGTTTGGCCCTCAGCTTCTCCTTTTATCTGCAGCCTACTTTGAGGTGATATAGGATCTTAGCAATAGAATAAATTTTAGCTATTACTGACTAGGATATTTTTTTAGACTGACGGTTGCAACCTGATAGTGGATCATGAGGTCAATTTAGTGGGTTGCACTAATAAAATAGAAAATATCAGAATGTATTTTTCTCCTAATTTATTTTACTACTTGTATAATATGACAACAATGAAACAGGAAATTAAAACAAAATATCCATAATCTCACTCCTATAAGATATCAACTGTGTTTATTTTTCCTTCTTCCCTTCCACTTCTTTTCCCAAGACTAGCAGGAATTGGGTAGCAGAGTGTGATGTGCTGAAGGTACACAGAGGATAGTGCAGGAGAGGACCTCGGAACGGAATAGTTCAGGACCTTGGGAGGAGTGTTAGCTTTACAGGTGAGGGACAGCCTGCAGTGGCCATGTGCATGAGGTGGAGCGAGACTATATGAGAGCACTATGCTGGGGGCTTCAGTCTTGGTCAACCAGAAGGCCAGGCAGTACATTCACTGGGGAATTTGTAAAGGATTAGATTTGGAACATCAGACAAGGGACAGTTCTGAGAAGTCAGCGAAAGGGAAATTAAAACTTTGTTGAGCCACTAGCAAATGACAGATTGACATGAATTGCATATGCAAATTTTTATGTTGATTACATTCACATGGCACACAGTCAGAAAGGTACAAAGAACTAATGAAAAGTATCCTACCCATCCCCCAGTACCCAGCTCTTTTCAAACCGAAGCAACCAGTGTTACTAGTTGTCTTATATCTCCTTCCAGAGATAGTTTATCATATATCAGCAATTACATATATATTTTTCTACCTTGGTTCACCATCCCTATTTTTAAAAATTATACCAGTGGCGGCATACAATTCAAACTACCTTACACTAAGTCTTTTTCCCTCTCAACACTGTACCTTCCAAGCAGTCTTAATGACTAGGAAAGAGGGGTAACTCAGCAAAAATCAAGGTAATCTAGGGTGCTGGAGAAAGCAGCACCAAATTCATTTGCTAATCCTGATTGGAGAAGGATTCCAGTACAACCAGGGCAGCATCTAGCGGGAAAGGAAAGAATGATAGGTGTTCAGGGCTTGGATGAGTTAGAAGATGAGGAGGTTGAGAAAGAAGAGAGTATCAGGAGACTGTGTATATATTAATATATAAAGGGACTGGCTTTTAAAGTATTTTAAATATGTCCCACAGAAAGAAATATTTAACATAAGGCCCCAGGATATGTGTACTAGTATGTGTGTGTATGCCTGTGCTTACTTTTACTATGTCCAATGTTATCTGATATTTTCTTTTCTATTTTCCCAAATGAGTACTGATCATTACCTGTGAAGTCAATTTCATGATCCACTTATGGGTTGTGACTCACAGTTTGAACGACTCTGGAAATAGAGGTGTAGCTTTGCTGGCTTGTAGTTGGTGTAGAATAGTCTCTATGAGGAAGGTTGAAGAACAGTGAATGGAGAAATGCGAATAATCATCCGTATGATAGGGAAGATTCTAGGGATGCTGGAAGGGATTAGATATACAAAGGAATAATGTAAGAGAAGAAGGCAGGCAAATATCAGATGGTAAAACTAGATGAAGACATAGGTGGCTCAGGGATTTCAGAGTGGCCATGGGGTTTCAGAGTGGCCCTGAAGGTCAAGAAGGTAGCCAGCCCCACCCCCGCTACTGTGCCTGTTGAGTTGCAGGATTAGACAGAAGCAAAGCTGCCAGTTGACAGGGCAGCCTGGGTGTGATGTTTATGAGCAGATCAAGTTTCTTTCACAGAAAGGAGCTATAATTAAGGGAATACATTTAATTTAAATAAGAACCGATCTGCACAAGACTAGGGAATTCCATAGGACACAACATAGGGGGAACAGAGGTGACATTGTAGGGCAAGGGCTGGGGGTCCCTGAGCAACTGGTAGAAATAGTTACAGGGGAAGCAGTGAGTAGGGTCGTATTCTGAGAGAGGAGCGCTGTTTGGGGAGAGCAGTACAGGCTGAAGAGGAAGGACAAGTGTGCTGAGTGAAGGAAAGAAGGGCGAGAAGAAGAGTGGTCGGGATCGGCAGTCGGGCAGCAGCTCTAAATGAAATAGGAGCTATTCCTCTCCTAATTGGCTGTAGACCAGGGCTCTGTGGCTATATTTCAAGGAGTCCGTGAACTTGGATCAAAAAATAATTACATCTTTATGTTCAGTAAGTTTGAACTGAAATGTAGCATTTTTTAAGGTATGCCTATAGGGCACAAACCACATACTGTTAGCAGGACCTGTGACTTCATCACCAACTGAAGTCGCATGTTCGTATCACATTAGATTGTTGCAAATATCAACCAGAAGCAACCAAGCTTACCAGTTTCTTATGTCACTCATCATACTTTGAAATTATGGTGATTACTATGAGAGTCAATGCTATGTTTTACTATTTAATGCTTCATAAAAAGTACATGTTATTGTGTCATATGTTTAGGGTTTTTATATTACAAACTAAAGGCCCGGTGCACAAAATTCATGCATGGGTAGGGACCCTAGGCCTGGCGGGTGATCAGGGCCAATCTGTGGGGCAACTGGCGGGGTGATTGGAGTGGGGGGCCACTGTCACCCACCTTGGCCGGCCTGGCGCTGCCTGCTCGCTGGCCCCGCCCCCCGCCCCTTGCCACGGCCAGTCGCCTCCCTCTGCGGGGCAGCCAGCGGGGCGATGGGGGGGAGGAATGGGGGAGTGGCCACTGGCACCTGCCTTGGCTGGCCTGGGGCCTGCAGGCTGGGGACAGCTCTTGCGTTGAGTGTCTGCCCCCTGGTGGTCAGTGCACATCATAGTGATGGGTTGTTCTGCCTGTCGTTCAGCCATTCGGTCGATTTGCATATTATGCTTTTATTATTATAGATGTTTTAATATAATGAATTTCATTTAAAGTCCTGTGTATTCAATTTATGCACAGAGAGGAGATTGGAAACTGCTGCTGTAATAGGATCTCTTCATCCCTATAGAGATTTTCCTGGGGCTTAGAGGGTGTGATCCTTACTGGGTCTGACCACATACTTATAAGGAAAGTACTTGCAAGCCCCTTACTCTGCCTGACTGAAAAGGGGCTGGAGACTGTCTCAGGGACCAGCTGAGTGTGTGTGTGTGTTTGTGTGTGTGTGTGTGTGTGTGTGTGTGTACTGAAAAGTAAATACACAGATAACATGTCTCTTAAATTTTGCTTTAAATAAGAGTATTTTAAGCTATTACATGGAAATTTCTTATTAATTTGATGGGTAGTCTTGCTATCATTTCTTGTGATAGGGTTTAACTGACATTAAAGTTTGCCTATACACCTTACATTTAGGATACTGAGAAGAAATTTACTAAAAACACTGTATGTGTATATTTTAAAGGACCCGTGTTTCTTGATCACCGGGATGAGCTTGAGGGAACATACAAGGTTTACTGCCAGAATCACGACGAGGCCACCTCACTGCTGGAAATCTATGAGAAGGATGAGAGGATCCAGAAGCATCTTCAGGACTCCGTGGCAGAGCTTAAGTAGGAGTTCTGACCACTTCACTTCCATCGTAGCTCTTTAGTTCTGCCTTTTGATCATCACTCCCATGTATATGTCTATACTGCTTATGATATCCATCGTCCATCTTGTTTTAAACATAAATGATATATTATTATAGGTTCTATTAGGTAACTTGCCTTTTTCCATCATATATCATGGAAATCGTAAGTGGCATCCTGCTTGTACTTTTATCCATTTCAGGCACTTTTATCTATACACTAGAGGCCCGGTGCACAAATTCATGCACTGGGGAGGGGTGTCCCTCAGCCCAGCCTGTACCCTCTCCAATCTGGGACCCCTCAGGGGATGTCTGACTGCCGGTTTAGGCCCGGTCTCCCCCCATCCCCCACCACCCCACTGATCTTTAGAGAGAGTGGAAGGGAGGGAGGGGGGAGAGAGAGAGAGAAACATTGATATGAGAGAGACACATCGATCAGTTGCCTCCTGCACATGCCCCAACCCAGGCCAAATTGGGCCTACAACCCGGGTACCTCCCCTTGACTGGGAATCGAACCCGGACCCTTTGGTCCTCGGGCCAACACTCTAAACACTAGACCAAACTGGCCGGGGCAAATTCAGTTAATCTTGATCATAAGATGAGATTTTCCTGGTCTTAGGGAGGCATGTTAATGTATATATCTAAGTAGATCAAAGTGAAATTAGGGGCTTACTAACTTTTTTAAATAGACTAGGTATGCTACCATAGACATTCATAATTTCTCTTTTATCCCATGTGATTTTTGTTTGCTCAACTAATAGGTGTTAACATTGAATTGATATGTTCTGAGAAAAATATGAAAATCAGCATTATCTCTAATCAGCTGTCTCTTTTCTTTTCATGCTAACTGCCCTATAGGAGCCTGTACAACGAATGGTAAGTTCCCTCGCCACTTGCACAAACTCATTTTTAAATTTTCTTCCTTTATAGACAGAAACCTAGAAGTAGATTTACCTTGTTATATTTTTCTCCATAGCACTTACCACCCAATGACACTTTATAGGATATTTGTTTATTGCCAGTCTCATTCCATCAGGGCAGGGACTTTTTATGGTCACTACGAAATCCCCGGCACCTGCATTAGTGCCTGGTATATATTTATTAGGTGTCCAGGAAACATGAATGGATGAAAGTAGAAAGTAGGAAGAAAGAACAGAGCTCTACTTTGGAATAAAGGATACTACCTGTGGGTCCTGTATTTATTGACAGTGGACTAAAGGCTCTGTTTTCCCTTCTCTTATAGGGGATGCACAAATTATATTAACCTGGGCTCCTTCCTCATCAAACCAGTGCAGAGAGTAATGCGTTACCCACTGCTGCTAATGGAGTTGCTGAATTCCACCCCAGAATCCCACCCAGATAAAGTGCCTTTAACCAATGCAGTCCTTGCAGTCAAGGAAATCAACGTTAACATTAATGAATACAAACGTCGAAAGGATCTAGGTAAGAACAGCATAGTTGCTACAAAGGAGCTATGCCTTTGAGAATGTTCTTCTTCTCAAAAGAATTATTCCACCAGAGGTGGACGAAGCAAATGGTAGGTTATAGGGTTGTGATGAAGGAACAGTAGTGGAATTTTGGGGAAGTGTGATCTGAAGAAAGAGAGCAGTAATAATGAAAGCACAGCCATGGCCTATTGGAAATCGACATCTCTGATAAAGCTTATAGCAGCACGAGTCTTTGCCAAGAGGTATGAAGACTGATTAGAAATGGCTGCTCCAGAGTTCCTCCAAGCATGAGTGACTGCCTTCTCGACTCATTGATGGCAATCCTTTTCTTTCTGTGCTTACATTTGTGTGCTCTGCACGTCTGGTTAGGTGTTTTACTGTCTCCATTTAAGTTAGGACTCTCAGTCTTCTTTCAGAAAAGCCCCATGTGCCCCATCTCTGGGTCCCGTCAGTCCTGGCTACGCTCAGAAACCTGCCTCTCTCATCTGAGTTCCTCCCCGCCCCCCCAACACTGCACAGTCAATTACCAAACCACCCACTCACTTTTCCTCTATAGTGTAGAATGAATTAAACCTTTTCTTCTTTTCTTTTCTTTTCTTTTCTTTTCTTTTCTTTTCTTTTCTTTTCTTTTCTTTTCTTTTCTCTTTTCTTTTCTTTTCTTTTCTTTTCTCCCCCCCCCCTCCTCCTCCTCCTCCTCCTCCTCCTCCTCCTCCTCCTCCTCCTCCTTTTTTGATCAAATGTCTTATTAAGGCTCTAATTTGAACATTTGAGTAGTATGGTGACCATGCTGAACTGATATATTATTGATATCCTCAAAGAATGTATAATGTAGTGTAACCTCTTTTCCTGTTCTCCACTCTTCTCCCCACTTTACCTAAACCGTTTCCTCTGCCACATTCATATGTCATGCTGCTCATGGCTTTAAAAGCTTTCTGGCCCCCTCGCCATCATGGCTCATGTCTCCTGGTGTAACGTCCTCTTCATCTTCCATGGTGATAAGTGTGCCTTTTTGCTGCCCCCATCCTTCCCCTTATGACCCTGCTACTGTGAGCTCCAGTCTTTTCTGCAGATTGTGCCCAATGTTTGACACAGTGATTAAATAACTCCTGTATAGCATTTTACTGTGTGAGATAATGGGATATAAATATCTCATTCGTATAGGTGTGAGACCATTTAAGATGGTCTTATAAGGCAAATACTCTTACTTTCTACATCTTATTGGAGAGGAATGAGTCTCAGAGAAGTTAAGTGACTTGTGTAAGAACAGACTTTGATGAAATGACAGACCCTGGCATTGAACTCTGATGTTTCCATGAGTTCAAATCTTTAGGCTCTTTTCCTTATACCTGCTACCTCTCCCCTTGTCGCTAGCCTTCTCCAGTCTGTGCAGTGTCTCTCTGCCCTTGAGTATTCTCTCTGTCCATAAATGGTGATTTCGATTAATAATTCTTCTGCACTCATTCTAAGCTCATTGAAATCGAGCACTAGCTCTAGTTTGGGTTGTTAGTCTTGCTTTGTAGCTTATTTTATGGTCTATTTATGCTCAGGAAAGAGCTTTCTAACTCACCAGTTTGACTCGCTCCCTAGTCCTCAAGTACCGGAAGGGCGATGAAGACAGCCTCATGGAGAAGATCTCTAAACTGAACATCCACTCCATCATCAAGAAATCCAACCGCGTCAGCAGCCACCTGAAGCACCTCACTGGCTTTGCTCCCCAGGTGAGGGTCCTGCACGTCAAGGCTCAGCATGTCTTTGGCAGCTTTTCAAGGCTCCGCGGGGCAGCCTGTGTGGTGTCAACTGGCATGGCTTCCCTCTTGGTACCTCCCCTGGTGTTTGCTGGCGGGTGGATACGGGACCGGCAGCCACTGGTGATGTCAGTCCATCCACCCACCCAGCACCCTATCCATGCTTTGGTGAGCTGCCTGGGTGTACAAAGGCAAACCAGAAGGCCAATAATTGTGGCTTTAGACACTCATTAAAAAGTTATAATTCATTTAGGGAGATAAAAGTAAAATTGCAGACCTATTAAGCTAGAAGGGATTTAAAAGCTCACCTAAATTCAACACCGTATGATGCACAGAAGGAAACATAAAAGTCTGAGGGATTGAGTGATGGACAGTGCTGAGGGTAGATCCGAAGTCTCCAGTCTTCATTCACTGTACCACGTATACACGATACCAGTAAGAGAAAACGCAAGTGAAAAAAAAGCCAGTTGCTAAGCTTTGCAGTTTGTTCTCTACACGGTGTAGTTCTCAAGAAAACAGGAGCTCCATGAGCGTGAGCTTCATGTGGGCCAGAGATTTCATCTGAGCCTTAAAGGGGGAGGGGGGGCAGGTGGGAATAGGGAGAGGAGAGGGCACACCAGGCAAAGCAACAACACAGGGTTAAAGGCATATTGTCAACAGATGTGGCAGGTGCCAGGGAAAATGGTGGACAGCAGCCGCACCAAACCAAAGGGTCTCCATCAGGGCGGAACGGGTAAGGTGCGACAGTAGGGGGCCCTCTCTCAAAGCCATGCGGAACGGTTTAAATTCAGTTTAGTAGGATTCAGGGAAACATCAAAGGTTTAAAATGTAAACAAAAGGTGTTTTTAAGAAAGATACTTTTGCCAATAAGGTAGATTGAGGGAAAGTTCACATCAGCTAACAGCACTTGTTTATTTTGAACAGATAAGAGATGAAGCATTTGAAGAAACAGAAAAGAACTTCCGAATGCAGGAAAGACTGATCAAATCTTTTTATACGAGACCTGTCTCTCTACCTGCAGCACATCCGGGTGAGTGAGGACATCGCTGTGGTTAGGATCACGTGGGCACCATTCTGTCCACTTTCCCCTTCATCCAGCATGTTGTTGAATATTGAACAATCTGGATTCAAATGACCATTATGCCATGACCTGCTTTTTATCAGGATTCCCAGGGATTCTTTAAAAGTTAAGTAACCTTTAGGAGATCAGTCCTGTTGTATTAATTTTAAAGTGTCCAGCCCTTCCTCCCTCTCAATCTTCCCCACCACCTTTTTACTGTCTCCTGTCCCCAGTTATGTAAGAAGCACTTATCACCGTCCATTTTGTCAAAACAATTTTAAAGGTAGAAGAGTAAGAGAATAGTTCCTGTGGAGGTCTTTCTAATAATAATATTCATTTCCAACTTACTTAGTTGCCCTTCAGAAGGCCTCTAACGCTGTTCGAACAGGCCTGGAGCAGCTCGGAGATCAGGCCCAGGGCATCCTCGCCTCGTCCCCGGACAGCGTCTCCTTCACGAAGTCACACCAGGACTAGAATCCTTTCTGTTCATATTTCTAATCTCTCTATTGATTTTATATAATGTGTTTATATATAGGACACATGCTTGTCCCTCGCACATGAAAATCTCATCCTATGAAACAATTTTCTTAAAAAGAAGTCCTTTGCTTTAAAAAAAATCATTTTTTAAACTAAGTAAAATGGTATAAAATTCAAAAGGTACCAAAGGGTTAAGTAAAAAATAAAAATAATGATTCCCCCTGTCCCTGTCTCCTAGTCATCCTCTATAGAGACAGGCATCATTTATTAGACTCTTCTCGCCTAGGGTGTGAGTGTGTGTGTGTGTGTGTGTGTGTGTGTGTGTGTTACACATTGTTCAGCATCTTAGGTTTACACTTAATAGCATCATTTTGGAAGTCAGTCCATACCTGTACACAGAGCTTCTTGCTCCTTTTCTCTTTTTACAATTGCATAACATTTAACTGTATGGACATGCCATAATATATTTAACTAATCCCTTATTGATAGTTATTTAAATTGTAGTTGCAAAAGATTAGAAACACTGGCACAGGAATATCTTTGTAGATACATAATTTTCAGATCTATGAGTATATTTCAAAGCCAACAGTACTAGATTTTCTGAGCCAAATCATGATAGTATAAATTTGCTAGATGTTGTTAATGTGTGAAAAAAATATATTAATGTATGAAACGGTTTCCCCATCCCTTGCTAACACACAGTGTTATCAAAATTAAAATGTCTTTAACAGGTTAAAAAAAAATGCAAAAAAATAGATAGGTTAAAAACATTTAAATTTTCATTTCTTTGAATGAGATTGAGGATATTTTCATGTTTACGTCATTTTTTCTGTGATTTGTTTATACTGGGGGGCACTTATTTATTGACTTATTAATTTTTTCTTACTGATTTGTAGAGCCTCTGTATACATTCGAGAAAATAGCCCTATGTCTGAGATAATGGTGTAGAAATATTTCCCCCCAGTTTGTTGACTTTTGAGTTTGCTTAAAGTGCTTTCTCTGTGTAGAAGTTTCATTTTTTTGTAGTTAAAGTAGACATTTCATTTATGGCTTCTTAGTTCTGTGTCACACTTCAAAAGACCTTTGCTATTCTGAGATAATAAATAACAAATATCTCCCATGTTTCAGTACATTTATCATTTCATTTTTTAATGTTAAAGTTACTGACTGAGCTGGAATTTACCTTAGTATATAAAGGTTTGAGGTAGGAATTCAACTTTATTTTTCTTTTATAACTGGTTATCCAGTTGTCATCCTCATTTATTGAGTAGTCCCCACTGATTTGAAATGCCCCCTACATTTCTTTTAAATATCAAACTCTCCCTCTTCATATTTTAAAAATGTAATTAGGTAAAACTTTTAAGGCGTGCATTGGCTTCAAATGAGAGATTTGACCAAAATATATTGGGACAACTACTAAGTATATTCCCTTGTCTGAGGACTTTACCCTATAGTTCCTCCATTTGCTACTCCATGTTGGCTGTTCTCTCTTCGTGTTCTCTAAATGCATAGCAAGTATACCAGAGCCCCCAACTCTTAAAAGACTCATCTCCATAGCAATGGGTAGAAGCATTTTGAGGTGGGACACGTGTAATATTGACAGCCATTTGATGGGCAGATGGCTGCTAACATAGGAAATTAAGGGAGAAAGTGTTGAAGTCGTGTCGCTGACATAAAATGGAAAAGCCCTGCTAGCAGTAACGTTAGCTAATAGATTGGCTGTTAGAGAGGGCCAGCAAGAACATAAGCTGAGGGACATTGACTGTATAATTTGGTCTCCACATTGGCATATGGACTGATATTTTACAACTTGACAACATCACTTTAAAAGAATAGAAGAGGCCATCATGTTTCACATTAGTTCCCCCACTCGGGTGGAATTAGAAAGATTCTCCACTTTGTCTTTCCAACTAAACCCTGGCTTTATTTATATTATAGATAAAGGACTTAAAGACAAGAGGTCAAAATATAGTAAAATAAAATATCAAACCAATGTATGAGGCATTAAATATTTTTGGCTTAGGGACTTCATTTATCCTTGAAATATATAAATGGGGTTTTAGATTTTATTTAGTTAACATTAAAATAATATGCTTTCCCCAAACTTAAATAAAGAAGGCAAATGCCCATCATTTGTTTTAAATAGCCAAAGAAAACCAACTTGGTATTTAAAAACTGTCGGGATCAGTCAGGAGGCGTTTACTCTGCATTCACTTATTTTTTCGTATTTTCGGCATTATTACAGATGAATGCTGCCTTCACATTAGTAAGTTACATTGTGTGTAAGGAGGTATTTTTGCAAGGAAAAAAGCAGCAAGAGCCATCAGGAGTGCCAGAGTTTGGGTGAAGGAAGCAAGGTTCATTACCCAGAGGGCATTGGGCAGTAGTTTTTGAGACAGTGACAGCATGAGCCAAGACGCGAAGAGGAGAGATGATTGTTCATTATCACAGTCTTGCAGGAATCATCTTGACTTCAATTTAATTGACTTTTTGATGCATTAAGAAACCCTCAAATTAGGGACATAAGGAAATGCAAAAGAGATGATAAAAGCCCTCACCAATTTTCCCATAATTAAAAGTCTTAGGCTTTTCCCTGTGCCCATAAATCATAGTTTATGAAAATATGCTTGTTTCAAAGCTAAAATGCTACACCACAGAGAAAAAATTTAATTTCGGAACCCTTTTCCCCCCGACTGCTACCAAGCAATGACTGATGAAGGCTAGACAGTTCTGTTTGATCTTACTTGCCTTTGTTCCTCTCTGGCTCCAGGAATCGGCCTGTGTGAAAGTGGTGGCTGCGGCGAGCATGTGGGATGTGTGCATGGAGAAGGGACACAAGGACTTGGAACAGTTCGAGAAGGTGCATCGCTACATCAGTGACCAGCTCTTCACAAACTTTGTAAGTGACCATCTTCAACACACTGTTCACGGTTGGTCCTCTTCCTGGGGCTCTTTCTACCTCCAGTTGACGAAAAAGTTAACCACAGAGACATGCTCTGTGCATTAGGAGTCCTGGCCGTCCTCTAGGATATTTGCAGCAGGATTTTATATTCAAAGGATGGCTTTCAATAAGTTAAAGGCCAGGTAGGACCTAGATGTATTCACACAAGTTTTTTCGTAGCTTGTGATCAGCCTGGTTTCAGCAAAGGAAAACTAGGAAATGTAATCATGGATCACAATTGATAACTCTGATCAAAAGGAAACAACGATTGGAATGGTCACTTAAAAAGGAATATTTAGGAATTGTTAAGAGGTTAACAAATAGGTCTTTGAGATTGTACAAACTACAAAGAAAGTACTAAAGGCCACGTTGCTTCTGAATTCTAAATAGATATCCAGTTAACCCTAGAACAAAACTGATTTGAACTGCATGGGTCCACTTATACACAGACTTTTTTTGATGTGTACTATAAACATATTTTCTTTTTCTTACGATTTTCTTTCTATTTTTAAAGACTTTTTATTTCTTTTTATTGATTTCAGAGAGGAAGGGAGAGGGAGAGAGAGATAGAAACATCAATGATGAGAGAAAATCATTGATTGGCTGCCTCCTTCACGCCCCCTACGGGGGATCAAGCCCACAACCTGGGCATGTGCCCTTGACCAGAATCAAACCTGGGACCATTCACTCCTCAGGCCTACGCTCTATTCGTGAGCCAAACTGGCTAGGGCTCTTATGATTTTCTTAACAGTTTCTTTTCTCTAGCTTACTTTATTGTAAGAATACAGATTATAATTCATATAATATATAAAATATGTGTTAATCGACTATTGGTAAGGCTTCTGGTCAGTAGTGGGCTTTTAGTAGTAGTTTTTGAGGAATCCAAAGTTATATGTGGATTTTTAACTGTGCAGGAAGTCGTTACCCCTAACTCCTGCATTGTCCAAGAATCAACTGTATGTGGTATTTGGTCCAAAGTAGAAAGGAATAGGTGGGGGTTGATAGTGTCTTGGAGATGTCCAGATGGCTTGGAGCTGAGGAAAATATGCACACTCAGCTGCCTCCTGCACACCCTCTACTGGGGAGCGAACCTGCAATCCAGGCAAGTGCCCTGACTGGGAATCGAACCCTTGACCTCCTGGTTCATAGGTCGACACTCAACCACGTCAGCCAGGCATAAATTGAGAAGTTTCTGGAGTGTGTATATTCATCTGGGATTGGTAAGCAGGACAGTTGGATCTGCATGGGTGTAGCTTGTGCACTAGGAATACAGCAGATGGTGTAGGACATAAAGTCAGCCTGAAGAGTATTATGGGAAATAACAAATGTGGAATACTGAGCAACGTGCCTTCCTTGTCCCTACAGAAGGAGAGGACAGAGCGGCTGGTCATCTCCCCCCTCAATCAGTTACTGAGCATGTTTACAGGGCCCCACAAGCTGGTGCAGAAGCGCTTTGACAAGCTGCTGGACTTCTACAACTGCACGGAGCGGGCGGAGAAGCTGAAGGACAAGAAGACCCTGGAGGAGCTGCAGTCGGCCCGGAACAACTACGAGGCCCTGAATGCGCAGCTGCTGGACGAGCTGCCCAAGTTCCACCAGTTCGCCCAGGGCCTCTTCAGCAACTGCATCCACGGCTACGCCGAGGCCCACTGCGACTTCGTGCGCCAGGCTCTGGAGCAGTTGAAGCCACTGCTTTCAGTGAGTCCCTCATCCCCCCACCCCCCAGCCCTCCACCCCCACCCCCACCCCCACCCCCACCATGGAGAGTTCATCTCTGAAGTTCTAGTGATTTTCTGGAAGTGCACAGTAGGATTGTTTGAGATATTCTTCAAAATAGATAGATTAAATATGTTATTAGGTCAAGCCCATTAGGAATTAGAATTCTTTAACCCTTGATGGTGCCTGTGAAGTCCATGACTTTTTAAGATAATATGTTTTTATTGATTTTAGAGAGTGAAAGGGTGAGGGAGAGAGATAGCAACATTGATGAGAGAGAAACTGCAGTTGGCTCTCTCCTGCACGCCCCCTACTGGGGATCAAACCTGCAACTGGGGCATGTGCCCTGACCGGGAATCAAACCCATGACCTCTTGGTTCATGGATCAACACTCAACCACTGAGCCACACTGTCCAGGCCTGTGGCTTTTAATTTTTCTTTTAATTTATTTTTTGTTAATTCTCAGCTGATTTTGTTTTGTTTTCCTCATTGATTTTTAGAGAAAGAGAGAGTGGAAAGCAGGGAGGGAATGGGGAGGAGGTAAAGAGAGAGACATCGATGTGAGAGACACATAAATTGGTTGCCTCCCGTGTGCACCCAGACCAGGGCCGGGGATTAAACCTGCAACCCAGATACGTGCCCTTAACTGGGAATTGAACCTGTGACCTTTAGGTGCGTGGGCCACCACTGAGCAACACCAGCCGGGCTAAACCCTTGGCTTTTAAATGGTTCTCTTTCCACCCTGAACAAGCCCCAGCAGAGCCAGCCAACGTGCCCGCCGGCAGCTCAGTCCCTGGCATCGGCTGCAGTGTCAGTAGCTTACACAGAGTGAACTGCCGCTCAACTGTAGCTTCCAGTTGGTTTTAACGAGACTGTCAGTCGGGATCTTTCATCCGTATTCTCTTCTTTCCTCTATCTCGCCTCTTCCCACGGTCTCCAGTTACTTAAAGTTGCCGGCAGAGAGGGAAACCTTATTGCCGTCTTCCACGAGGAGCACAGCAGGGTTCTGCAGCAGCTCCAGGTTTTCACCTTCTTCCCAGAGACCCTCCCAGCTACCAAGAGGCCGTTTGAGAGGAAGACCGTGGACCGCCAGTCTGCTCGAAAGCCACTCCTGGGCCTGGTGAGTAGGGACTAGAGAGCGGACGCACAGCCTAGTTGTTCAGAATGTGAACTCGGGAGCTCAACCCCCTGGGTTCAGATCCCGGTACCGACAGTTAACTCACTGTACGTCCTTGAGCAAGTACCTAACCTCTGTGCCTTGGTTTCTTCTTCCCTAAAACACAGATAATAATTATACTGCATCGTAGAGTTATTATGAGGTTTAGATGAGTTAATATATGTAAAGCCCTCAGAAACTTTCTGGCAATCAGTAAGCACTGTTGTCATTGTTATTTTTAGTATCAATGGACTCAGCTGTCTCTACAAATTAGCAATTTAATAGGAGTTTAAATACTTTAAAGTAAATAAAAAAAAGGTTATTGAGTTCTTACCTATGATGGGCTCATCCATTCATGTACTGACTATTATCGAGCATCACCAGGTGCCTACTGGTACTTGACAGTAACCACCTGTAGTTTTCTCACACTTGGTATGTACTTCCAAATGCCCTCTGAAAAGCACACTTGGATTTTTGTCTATACAGTGAAAGGAGCTAGTAGTCTTAGTACTTTGATCAATTAATGAAGGGGACTGATTTAAGGGTATGTTCATTCTGCCAGGCCTCCCTATTTTTTATCATATATCAGAAGAGGTAATTATTTGATTTACTGCCAAACAGTTGATGGCTAACTGCTTTATTACCTGGAGATATCCTATATAATAAAACCCTAATATGCAAATCGACCAAACAGTGGAACGACGGGTCGCTATGATGCACACTGACCACCAGGGGGCAGACACTCAACGCAGGAGCTGCCCCCTGGTGGTCAGTGTGCTCCCACAGGGGGCACCGTTCAGCCAGAAGCCGGGCTCACTACAGAGCTAAGGAGCAGCTAAGGAGCAGAAGCCAGGTTCCCGGCTGGTGAGCGCAGCGGCAGTGGCAGGAGCCTCTCCCACCTCCCTGGCAGCGCTAAGGACCCCTCGGGGGATGTCTGACTGCCCACTTAGGCCCGCTCCCCTGAGGAGCCGGCAGTCAGACATCCCCTGAGGGGTCCTGGACTGCAAGAGGGCACAGGCCAGGCTGAGGGACATCCCCCCCCCCCCACCCCCAGTGCATGAATGTCGTGCACTGGGCCTCTAGTATATATATATTTAAATATATTTTTATTGATTTCAGAGAGGAAGAGAGAGGGAGAGAGAGAGAGACATCAATGATGACAGAGAATCATTGATCAGCAGCCTTCTGCACACCCCACCCTGAGGATCAAGCCCAGGCATGTGCCCTGACCAGGAATTGAACCATTCAATCACTGAGCCTTGCCCAGCCAGGCAATATATATATATTTAAGTTTATTGGGGTGACATTGGCAGTTATATTTTTTTAAAACTCAATTCTTCCATATTTTAAAAACTTTGGTAAGCTAAGCCAGATTACATCAGGTCATGATCTAAAAGACTGAAGACTTATCTTTGTTTACAGTATTTTTGCCCATACAATCTCATAGACATTAATTTAGATTAGCTTAAAAGGGGGAATCAAATTTATTATTACTTTATCTTATTTTTAAAAATTTATCTTTATTGAAAGTATTACATATGTCCCCATTTTCCCCCTTATTGACCCCCTTGCACCTTCCTCCCACCCCCACCTCCCCCCAAGGCTTTTACCATACTGTTGTCTGTGTCCATGGGTTATGCATATATGCATGGAAGTTCTCATGAATGTTATTTGTTTATATAGATGGGGAAGTCAGCATGAGAAAAGTCTCGGTGGTTTAGCTTCATACAAAGACCCAGTAATATTAAGTAATATTAGGTATTTTGAGTGTTTAGGTGGCATTTAGTCATATTTTTTTTGTCACAAGATAACAGTAAAACTGTGAGTTAAATTTTCTTAATAGCTACAGAGGCACCAAAGCAAGGCCTAAGCGATCTTGACTTTTACCCGGCCCCGTGGACGGACTCAGGCACAGGAGCAGCTGGCTGTCGTCCCCACTCTGAGACTGACAGTGTCGGGATTAAACCCGGCTGCTGGGATCATGGCCGGGGAGGGCTTCTGTTGATGGTATTTCTCGTGCTGCCTTTCAGCCAACTTACATGCTGCAGTCGGAAGAACTCCGGGCCTCTCTTCTGGCGAGGTATCCCCCAGAAAAGCTCTTCCAAGCAGACCGGAACTTCAATGCTGCTCAAGACCTGGATGTCTCCCTTCTGGAAGGTGACCTGGTGGGCGTGATCAAGAAAAAGGACCCCATGGGCAGTCCGAACCGCTGGCTGATTGACAATGGAGGTAAGAATGCTGGACACTGGATTACTGTAACTGTCAATGAGGAAGGGCTTTGAGCTGTAGCTGGATCCTGTCTGGACCAGGAAAAAATACGAGTCTTTGATTAAAGGGGAAAGTAACCTCGAAAGTTCTGTCCATCTCTAGAGAGTATAATGCCCAAGTGATTCCTGAAACAAAACCTGTCTTCAGTTTTGTTTTGTTTTACAAATTCCAGAGGAGATTCCATTCCTTCCCTTGCAAGGTCTGGCCCTGCTTCACAGCCCTGTGGGCAGCGGGTGCTGCCTGATGGGGCCGGTGCCCTCGCAGCCAGTTCTGAGCAAACCACAAAATGAGCGGCCTTCTCCGAGCTCTGTGAATGTGCCTTAGGCATGTGTGAATTTAAATCCTGTAGGACAGAGGTTTTCGTTTTCCTCCCATAACAATCTTACCTCATGACTATTCATGGATGACTTTAAAAACAGCTCATAGCTTTTTTTGTGGTGGGGGGCATGGGAAAGAGGTACAGAATTTAAAGAAAAACACAGCCCTGGCTGGTTTGGTTCTGTGGATAGCGCGTCGGCCTGTGGACTGAAGGGTCCCAGGTTCGATTCCAGTCAAGGGCACATGCCTGGCTTGTGGGCTTAATCCCCAGTAGAGGATGTGCAGGAGGCAGCCAATCAATGATTCTCTCTCATCATTGATGTTTCTATCTCTCTCTCCCTTCCTCTCTGAAATCAATAAAAATAAATTAAAAAAGAATGCTTTTAAAAATAAAAAAAAGAAAAGAAAAACACAAAGAATAATACTGATCCATGATTCTTTCCCCACAATATCAAAATCTGAAAAGCTTTGAAAAAGCAAAGGTTTTTTTTCCCCTCCCAGAATTCATTTGCCAAAACCTGCCTAATCTGAATTCATTTGGTGGCAAAACCTGACCAAAGTGATGTGAGGCTGTTTATAATCATTACTTATCCATTTTGGTGTGAAGAGCCATCTATTTGCTACAGAAATGTTAGTGGATTTGAATATGGAATATTAACCCAGACCCTGCTGGGGATATTATGAAATATACTAGAGGCCCGGTGCACAGGTTCGGGCACCGATAGAGTCCCTTGGTGTGGCCTGCAGGGATCAGGCCGAACCGGTAGTCCAACGCCACCTTCCACTCCTGCTCATCCTGGCCCCGCTGGGCCTGCCGCCGCTGCTGCTCAGTAGGTTTGCTGCCGCTCCGCTGCGGTCTCCAGGCTGTGGCGGCCAGTTGTGAGCCCTGCATCTGGTGCCCGTCAGTGAGTGTGGGAGCGCACTGACCACCAGGGGGCAGCTCCTGTGTTGAGCGTCTGCCCCCTGGTGGTCAGTGAGTGTCATAGCGACCAGTCAACTGGTCACTTAGTCTTTTATATATATAGATTGTATGTGTGCTTTACCTTCCCCAAATTCAAAAATCTAACTTCTAAAGCACATCTGGTTCTGAGCATTTCAGATATGGATTGTGGGCATATATACTAAATATCTATGTTCACATTGCCAGAGTGAAAATGTTAACATTTCTCAGTTTTCTTTAAAAGTATCTGTAGATTTTTTTTCCCCTCCCCCTACTCCTTCCTAACCAAAGAATAGAGATTGAAATGGGAAAGGAAGGACAGGCTGGGGCCTTCCAAGTGGTGAGCAGGTGAGTGCCCCTGCTGGATTCATGGACAGATGAACTCCTTGTAAAGATCCAAGCTGTTCAAAAGGCTCCCTCGTCCCTGGGGTTATATGGACTCAGTCCTGATAAATAAAGTGGTAGCAAGAAGCCCACAGTATCCGGATCAGCTGTTACCCTCTACCCCTCACCGTCTGCCCAGGGGCCCCTCCCCATCACTTAGCAGATAAAACAAATGTGTGCCAGCATTGTTTCAGCTACAGGAAACGCATGGAAGATGGAGACAGGGGGCTCACACGGGGGTCCCTGCCTGGACAGACAGTTGTTTCTTAATATCATAAAGCATTTTCCTGTCGATTCAGGATTTCAATTCCCAATTTATACTTCAAAGTTTTAGCCGAAGGCCCTCTCTGTCATCATCTTAGGCAACTAGTTAAAGTGAACATGTGCTGTGCATGTGTTGTGTGGGTGATTCCAACCAGTAGAAACAGCTTCCCACTTAGACTATGCTCACTATTCCCACCACATTCCTGAACCAGAGACGGGGATTTAAGTGGATGGAAAGAGGGCAAGGAGGCATCTCTTAGGGGCTCTGCCCATGAGGATGGTTATTCCGATCCCTTGGTACCACTGTTGTATTTGAACACGTCCCTTAAATTGTCCCTTAGTCCTTTCCTCCATGATCTAGGTATCCTGTGAAACTGTCCTCATGTGCTCAATCTCCACCTTGTCCTTTTCATTCTCTCCCCTTGCCTCTCCACGAGGCCTCCTTATCACTCGTCTCTTCTGAGGTTGCAACAAGAACGCACTGGCAGGCAGTCGCCACGATTCGTCTCTACCCACCGCATTGTACCCTGGGATTGAATGTCTGATCCGTTCGCTCACTGGGCATCTTACTTTGTGTCTCTCACTATGGAAACTTTTAAACCATGGTTTTTTCTCTGCTGATGACCCCTCCGTCCCTCGTCCCTCCTCCTCCTGCTAAAAGCTTTTCATGTCTGTCTTTCCTCCCCATAGTCACCAAAGGCTTTGTGTACAGCTCCTTCCTGAAGCCCTACAACGCCCGCCGCAGCCACTCCGACGTCTCTGTGGGCAGCCACTCCTCCACCGAGTCCGAGCACAGCAGCTCCTCCCCCAGGTTCCCTCGGCAGAACAGCAACAGCACCTTGACCTTCAACCCCAGCAGCATGGCTGTGGCCTTCACGTCGGGGCCTTGCCAGAAACAGCCTCAAGATGCATCTTCATTGAAGGAACTTGACCCAGCAACTCTCAGTGCTTCCTTAAACGTGGGCAGTTCAGAGAGCGGTCCTTCCAGCCGCCCTTCAGACCCGCACTCCGCCTCCCAGCCCAGGCCCTGGGACTCCGCCGACGTGGCCCAAGACGCCGACCAGCCTGCGCCCACCCTGAGGAGCTACCGAAACTCCCAGCATCCAGAGATGGCTGGCTGCTCCGTCCCAGGGCGAAACGGGCAGGATAAAGACCTCGTAAAAGGATGTGCAAGAACAGCCCCGTCTCTGGAAGATAAAAACGAAGAGCCGGAGAGCAGTGAGGCATTGGGCAACCAGGTGAGTGCTCCCTGCTCCCCTCGCAGAACAGGTGGCAGGTGTGTTGTGGGTGCAGATAATGCTTTTTTAGGGCGGGGGCGAGTCAGAGATGCCAGGGCCTGGGGTGTGATCCGGAGATGGGCTCATAGACAAATACTCGTGCTGGTGAGTGAGCAACTCAACACCTCCAGGCCCTTTCTGTGGCCGGCTCTTCATAGTTCTTTCTGAACCCCTTTTTCTGTGTCATGGGGCATTTACAAGGTTTACGATGAAAACTTTTCCCACTCTTCTGATTTACTGATTCCTTAGTTGTATAAAGTCTGTCGTTTAACCCATTATTGAGTTTTTTATTCAAATACTATATTTTTAGTTCTAGAATTTAGAAATAAAATTCTGGCTCTGTTTCGGGTTTTCCTGTTCCTTGCGTAATGGCCTGTTGTCTGGGGATCTGAATGTAGCCTTTGTATCTTGAACATTTAAACCTGCACGTTTTAAAGCCACGTCTAGCTTCTCAGCTCTGCTTGTTGCCTTTGCTCCGTCCGCAGTGGTGAGTGGCCGTGTCTGTTCTACAACGTTTGTCTGTGAGCTCATCTCCCGTGGGGCTGCCTTTGCTGAGTCTCAGTCGTGCCCTGGGTTGTGGAAGTGTTTGTCTTTGCCAAGCTCTGGATTCCAAAGCACCAGGTTTCCCACTCGTTCGTTTCTCAGCTCAGACGTCCCACCCCGCATTCCTCAGTCCGTCAGATGAGATGGTGCCGGCCTGTTTCTCTCTGGCCCAGATGGACACCCCAGTTCTGGACCCACCAGTGGGCAGTTTCTCTAGACATGTTGAGGGAGACATGTTTTTCTAAATATATCGACTCTGATAGGAATTTTGGTTTTCTTTGACTTTGCCTTGTCCATTGTGGTAGCCACCAGCTATATGTAGCTTAAAATTATATAGTTAGTTAAAATGAAATAAGATTTTAAGAAGTGAGTTTCTCTGTCTTACTGGCTGCATTTCAAGTGCTCAAGAGCCACATGTGGCTGTGGGCTGCCTTATTGACAGTGCAGGTACAGACCATCCGCCTCACTGCAGGAAGTTCTGATGAACAGTGAATTTCCAGGCAGTTTCCATTGCCTAACTCAGCTTTTCTCCCCCACACAGGTCTATTTTGCTGTCTATACCTTCAAGGCACGGAACCCAAATGAGCTGAGTGTGTCAGCCAATCAGAGACTCAAGATCCTGGACTTTAAAGATGTTACAGGAAATACAGAATGGTGGTTAGCCGAAGTTAATGGGAAGAAGGGCTATGTTCCATCCAATTATATTCGCAAAGCTGAGTACACCTGAACCTGTTCTGCTTCCCACTCAGCCTTGCTGCCCTCGCTTCCTTCTGCTGGAGGTTCTGGTGGTCCCCTGAGGGGCACCGCTCGGGAGGCACAGGCCCTGTCCCCAATGCTCAACCATGCCACAGGGGGCACAAGATACCACTTGTTCTCCTTCATTGGGTTCGCAATCTTGATGCTTACTAGAATTTCTAGAATTTGCCATGAACCCTGGAGCTTGAAAATAATTCCATGACCACGAGAAGAGTGGCAAGCCCTGGGTCAGCCTATGAAAATGAGAAATTTCCAAGCAGAAGACTGTATCTTGTGTATGCTGGGAGCTATGCAATAGCATTGGAAGATGTTGGCATTGGTTGTACCATGCTCCACGATCACCTGACAGAAATTGACTTGGATGAAAAGAATTCTCTGGAAGCCCTTTTAGGCTAAGCCTCTGCCTGTGGCAAGGAGTTTGCTGAGATTGTATCAATTCTGGTGTTTCAAAGCTTCTTGTCTAGCACACGTTCACACCTCTGTGCCTACCCCAATTTCTAAAAGTCCTTAAAACACTAGCATGTGTAATCTTTTTCTTAGTTCACTGATTGGTTATGCAACATTCGACTGCTTTCTTTCTCCTTCTGAAGAGGTTTAGCGTCTTTCTTTTCCTTCAACCTTTATCTGAAGGTTCTCATTTCTTATAGGTGCAGTCATCTACACCGTTCTGAGAGTTATGTCTACTTTATATAATCACTGTGTGATCATCTCCCCAGGCTCTCTCTCTGCAACCCATAACTGATAGATTTTTCCAAGGAGAATAGGATCAGAGTTCCAGCCATTTCGTTAAAAGGATTCACTCTGCAATGAGCCAAAACCAGCCCAGCCCGGTGGAAGACGGAATACCTTTCTCCTTCATCCAACTCAGTGCTGTCCACAGATGCAGAAAACTAACACGTGTCTTTTTTTTTTTTTAATGTTTTTATTGATTTCAGAGAGGAAGGAAGAGGGAAAGAGAGAGAGAAACCTCAATGATGAGAAAGAATTATTGATTGGCTGCCTCTTGCATGCCCCCTATTCAGGATCCAACTCACAACCTGGGCATGTACCCCAACGGGAATAGAACCGTGACCTCCTGATTCATGGGTGGATGCTCAGCCACTGAGCCACACCTGCTGGCCTAACACGTGTCTTATTTGAATTAGGATACTCAGTCCTGAAACTAGCTTATCTGAGACTTAGAAATAGCGTTTTCTGTTTTACTCTAACCTCCATGTTTCAGAGATCACAGTCTAAGCCAAAAAGATTCTAAAGTGCCTGGTTGCCCCTTTCTCCGGCCTCAGGAAGGTGTTTGCTAACCCTCACCTGACGACTCTCCCCGGAACGTTCTATTTGAGCAGGGCTCTTACTTAAGGTCTGCCCCCATGTGAAGCCTACCTTGGAACAGAAAACTATGAATTTGTCTTACAAAGGGAATTAAGAACAGTCTTACAGCCCCTGCTCCAAGTGCACCTTGGGCCGAACCCTCCTGATGAATTGGGAGACACTGGGCTCCTGAGCCCAGGCGCATGCGGGTCGGTCAGAAGGCAGCAGCGTGAGCCTCTTGTGAATAGTTTATATTTAGAGATGTTTCTATTGGAGTAGTTATTTTATAAATAAAAGCGTTTCTAAGGACCATGAGTATGTTTTCTTGATTTCCCTCCACGTTTAGCCTGAACTTTCCTCTTGGGTTTCTGAGGGTACCTTTCTGACAATAAACTGATGCCCAAATTCCAGGAGATGGGCAGGACTAACAAGAAATTCAAATCAAAATGTATTTGTCAAAAGTAATATCAATGGAATTACTGTATACTCAGGAGATGTCCATGCTGCAGGTGATTGTTTCCTTATTTTAAGGCAGTGGTTCTCAACCTTCCTAATGCCGCGACCCTTTAATACAATTCCTCATGTTGTGGTGACCCTCAATTTCATTGTTACAAATTGAACATAATTAAAGCATAGTGATTAATCACAAAAACAATATGTAATTATGTATATGTTTTCCGATGGTCTTAGGCGACCCCTGTGAAAGGGTCATTTGACTCCCAAAGGGGTCGCGACCCACAGGTTGAGAACCGCTGTTTTAAGGCATTTTATTATAAAACTAGAGGCCCGGTGCATGGATTCATGCACCAGTGGGGTCCCTTGGCCTGGCCTGCAGGGACCGGGCTGAAACCGGCTCTCCAACATCCTCCGAGGGGTCCCGGCTTGCAAGAGGGCACAGGCCAGGCCGAGGACCCCACCAGTACACGATCGGGGCTGGGGAGGAACCATGGGAGGGCTCCAGGGCGTGTCTGGCCCATCTTGCCCAGTCCCTCCCAATCAGCCTGACACCAGCAGCAAGCTAACCTACTGGTCGGAGTGCCTGCCCCCTGGTGGTCAGTGTGAGTCATAGTGACGGGCCAAACGGTTAGACGCTTGGCATATTAGGCTTTTATTATATAGGATCCTGGCAGAACAGAGGAGCTGAATTCTCTGATCTGGAATTCATAAGAGGTTAGTATTTTCCTGATATTATGGATGTGGAAACTAATGCATTAGAGCTTAACCAGGCCATACGGCAGTAGGTTGGGCAAGCTTGGGGGTGGGATGGGGAGACACAGCAGGAACACTGGCAGAGGCGGGATTGAGGACGTGTGGGTGACTGAAACAATCGCATGATACTGTTAAGGGACAGAAATCATGGTTGAATAGGGAATCTTCATGGGAGAGAAACGTATAGGTCAACTCTTTCATTTTATGGATTAGGAAAATGGGGTCCGTCCACATTGTGATGTGCTCACATCAAGTTTCCAATGGATCCTGAATTTAACGTTGGGCCTCAGGCTCTCAAGCTGAGTCTTTACACCTCATTCTGGAGCCAGACTGTCTGACTTCAGACACTTAAGAACTTTGTGACCTTGGCAACTTTCTAACCCCTGCTTCAGTTTCCTCATCTAAAGTAACGGTAGTAGCCCGACTGGCGTGGCTCAGCAGATTGAGTGTTGCTCCATGCACCAAGAGGCTGCTGGTTCGATTCCCGGTCAGGGCACATGCCCGGGTTGCAGGCTTGATCCCCAGTAGGAGGCGTGCAGGAGGCAACCGATCGATGTTTATCATCAATGTTCTCTCCCATCCTCTCTAAAAAATCAATCCTATATAATAAAAGGATAATATGCAAATCGACCGAATGACAGAACGACCAGTTGCTATGATGCGCAGTGACCACCAGGGAACAGACACACAACGCAGGAGCTGCCCCCTGGTGGTCAGTGCGCTCCCACAGGGGGAGTGCTGCTCAGCCAGAAGCCCAGCTCACAACTGGCGAGCGCAGCCACAGTAGCGGGAACCTCTCCCACCTCCGTGGCAGCGCTAAGGATGTCTGACTACCAACTTAGGCCCACTCTCCAGAGGGAGCAGGCCTAAACCATCAGTCGGACATCCCCCAAAGGGCTCCCAGACTGCAAGGGGGCACAGGCCGGGCTGAGGGTTCCTCCCCCCCCCCAAGTGCATGAATTTCGTGCACCGGGCCTCTAGTAAAAAATATTTTAAAATATAAAAACTAAAGTAACGATAGTACTACTATCCATTTCATGAAGTTGTTGGAAAGATGGAATGAATTAGTGCATGGAAAATGTTAGAACATCGCCTGACAGGTAGTAAACAAATTGGAGAGCCTTGAGGTCCAAGTCAAGGAATTTAGATTTGATGAGTGGTAATACACTCCTGTTGCTTCTTCAGTGGCTTGGCTGTTTTAGGAAAGCTAAATGGCAGCAGGGTGATTTGGAGGGTGGAAGATCAAAGGCAAGAAAATTTAATAATTGGGGGGAAGATCATTGATTTGAGCAGAAAGTGGCTTGAGAGTGGAAAAAAGCAACCTCCTTTAAAGAATATGAAAATGAAGAAATGATGGACTCACTGGCAAGAGGGAGGTCCGTGGGATGGAAGCAAGTGTATGAGAAAATGCGTTTTGTTTTAAAGCACCATCACAGGGAGCTGGGGGCTCGCAGGAATGCAGGCCGCACCTACTGAGCAAGGTCCCAGGTGGTTTGTGTGTATTAAAGTTTGAGAAGCATCTATTCAGGCAATTTTTTTAAACGAAACTTTCTATCAGAAAAGTAGGAGTTAGCGAAAACCAAGGAAGGAAAAGGGTGTCAGATGTTTCAGATACAACAGAAGGAAATGTTATTGAAGCAAATTTCCAAATCCGGTTTGCCTGCTTACTTCCTCTCATGAATCTTCTCCCTTTCCTGTCTGGGAGTAGCTCTTCAGATGTGTTTTCATTCAAGAGTCCTAGGAGAACAGGGTGGGGGTTAGGGGAAATCTATGGTCATCTGTAAAGTGTAGATATCTGGCCTCTCGAGATTACTGCAAGACTTAAACAAGATGATGTCTGCACATTTTTATGCACTGTGAGCTCTAGAAAGACATGGTTTTAATAAGGATTGAGTTTTGTGTCACCCTGTTTTAATTAATTGCGAAGCTGAGACTGTTTATATGGGTTTTGTTTCAGGGCTGGGAATATACACAGGCCCCAGAAAAACAGCACTGTGCTCCAAATTCTGTTTCACTTGCAGAATCTTAGGCTTGAGGACTAAGAAAACTTGAGATCTACATAAAGCATTCTAACGCCTCTAGTCACCAAACACTACCCAGGCCTTTAATTCTCTCATCTATTAGTATGCAGTAGTGATGGTTTAAAAAAAATTTTTTTTTATTGATTTCAGAGAGAAAGGGAGAGGGAGAGAGAGATAGAAACATCAATGATGAGAGAGAATTTTGATCTGCTGCCTTCTGCACTCCCCACACTGAGGATTGAGCCTGTAACCCAGCATGTGCTCTGACCGGGAATCGAACCGTGACCTCCTGGTGCATGGGATAATCTCCGATCTGCGCCTTGGTTTATTTCACTGAGCCCCTGGAAGTTTCTTGCAATTGTTAATGAAGATCAGTATTAGTGATCTGCAGGCATCAAGAAGGGAGTTTTACACAACAAACTGCAGACTTTGCAAGCTACATAGGGCTGTCCACTTCTTACCACCACTCAGAGCTGAGCCTCAAGGGGAAAGGGGAGGACTTTGTGCTTCCCCAGAGTAAGTTCTGATGGTGTGGTGGTGGGAGGGAGGGAGCACTCTGACAGGGCAGCAGCTGTGTGTTCATTCAGGAAGAAATCATTGGAAGCAGCAGGCACACTGGGACCCTGCAGCTGCCTCAGCAGGACCACCCACGAAGCACTGCCTGTGCCACCAGGCATCCCAGGACACCGAGGAAGCTGACTGCGAGACTCCGGGCCTGTCACAGCCTCCTCCAGGCGTAGGTACCACCATGACTCGTTTAACCAGGGGCCTTCCTGCAGCCTCTCAGATGAGATTAAAAAACAGATTGCCTGCAAATATGACCACGCTGAGTAAGACCTTTGCAATTTGACAGAAGGGCGACAGCAGTCAGCACTGAAACCCACTTTAGCTGGGCTTAAAAGATGGTGTGACCCTCGACAGATTCACACGACAGTGCGATTCAGTGAAGATCAGTCAATTGTCACACTGACTGCAGTAGGAGAATATTAGCGATTTTACCAGAGCTATTTGGGCTTATGGTATTGTATTAGTTTCCTATTGCTACTGTAACAAATTACCACAAATTTGTGGCCTAAAACAACACAAGTTTATTATCTTACAGTTCTAGGTCAGAAGTTCAAAGTCTGTTTCACTGGGCAAAAGTCAAGGTGTCAGCAGGGTGTTCCTTCTGCAGGCTCCAGGGGGGAATCTGTCTCCTTTTCCAGCTTCTAGAACAGTGATGGCAAACCTATGACACGCGTGTCAGAGGTAACATGCGAACTCATTCTTTTGGTTGATTTTTCTTTGTTAAATGGCATTTAAATATATAAAATAAATATCAAAAATATGTCTTTGTTTTACTATGGTTGCAAATATCAAAAAATTTCTATGTGTGACACGGCACCAGAGTTAAGTTAGGGTTTTTCAAAATGCTGACACGCCGAGTTCAAAAGGTTCGCCATCACTGTTCTAGAAGCTGCCTGTAAGCCTCCGCTTATGGCCTCTCCCTCCATCTTCAAAGCCAGCAGCATAGCATCTTCAAATCTTTCTCATCACATCCTCTTCATTCTGACTCTGACCGTCCTGACTCATAAGGATCCTGGTGATTGCGTGGGGCCCAGCGGGATGATCCCCCATCACAGCATCCTCAGTCACAGCAGCAAAGCCCCTTTTGCCCCGGGTTTTGGGGATTAGGAGGTGGACATCTTTGGGGGCCATTTTCTTTACCACAGGAGTGAAGTCATGACATTTTTTTAGGCCCCTTGTCTTTTTGAGAATGGAAACAACCCACTCCGTACTATACCCGTGTTTCTGGAGTCAGAGATCAGCAAACCTTTTCTGTAAGAGGCCAAGTGAGCCCTACCTGGTTTGGCTCAGTGGATAGAGCGTCAGCCTGTGGACTGAAGGGTCCCAGGTTTGATTCCAGTCAAGGGCACATGCCCAGGGTTGCCAGCTTGATCCCCGGTAGGGGGCATGCAGGGGGCAGCTGATCAATGATTCTCTGTCGTCATTGATGTTTCTCTCTCTCCTCTCCCTTCCTCTCTGAAATCAATAAAAATTATCTATACTAATAAAAGGCCTGTGGCCATGATGCCATAA